GGCAGAGAGAGAAGAAGAGGAAACGCCGGTGTGCAAATGCCTCGCCCACCAACCCCGTAGTGAACCAATAATCGAAGCTCGATATAGCGAGCCGACCCGGTGTTATCCAATCCGTGGACCCCGGTCGCCACGCAATTGACACGTTCCACGTATGGAAGAGGGGTGGTTGGGGGTGGCGTGTGTACATACACACTGGAATGAAACTGATGCACGGGGGGAAAAAAGTGGACGGGGAGGGGTCCACGGTATAAATCTGTTCGGTAAATACCGTCGTTTTTATCAGCCCGGGAAAAATATCGAGGGGAGGGGGTCGCTTGATCGATTCTCGCTCGTTTTTTCGCCCCTTTTTATCGCGGCCGACCCGCCCCCCCGTTCGATTTTTCGAATTTATTGGACGAACCGAGAGAGAGTGTTGGAGAATGACGTTTCACGCTGGGTCACGTGATTATTCGTAAATTATGGGGGATGCAGGGGATTTATGGTGGACTATGGTGGAGTATTTCTCGAGGGAAATTGTTTCGGTCATTGTCATAAATTGAGTTAAATTATTGTAATTATCGTACTATGTCAAAGTTTATATAGAAAATATTTTTTTCTGTATAAAAAAATTCGAACATTTGATAGATGATAAATAAGAGAAGAAATACACGAGTAAATAAATGTATTGATGTATATATGTACTGGTAGTTAATAGTCACGTGGCGCTAGTATCGATATCGTGGCCTCATCGATCACGTCGTCTTAAGGAAATTACGATTTTCTTGCAAAAATGGATACATTTTGAATGAATTTTTTTGACGGATACACAGGTTGCATCGTTACGTACGTAATGGGAATTACGTCACGCGTCATTGGCCACGTTCTCGTTCGTTATTTAGCAGCGTCCAGCTGCGTTCGATCAATTTCTATATCGGTTTGATTATCATTAATGGATTTATCGATTCATCCGATTATCGAACGATGTCACAATTTCGATCTTTATATCGATCGAGTTCAACCCTTCTTGCATTTCGACGCTGAAATTATTAGGGTGCACGCGAATCGTTTCCTGGAATCGAGATTTTTATCGTCGGAAGACATGGATATCGTGTGAATAATTGTAGATTCGACAGATTTTTAGAAATAAAATGTTGATCTCATTAATGGAGGAATAATATTTTTAAAATCGTTTCATAAAAAATTTCTCTATTATCTATAATACGATTTATTAATAATGATAAATATATATAAGCATAATTTTTTCCATTTTCATCTTTTCACAAAATCTCTTTAATTCCAATCTTTTAAGTAAATATTAATACGGATATTAAATATTAATAGAATATTTCTAAACTATGTATCATCGTTTATTAAATATTTATAGAATTCAGAATTCCGTTTGAAAGAGTGAAAACCGTGAAATCAACAACTAATTAGATACAACTAGTAGATTTCACGAAGGATGCGTGAGGAATGGATTTCGTGACAAACTCGTTTCCATTCTTAAAAGAGCACGTTAGTGCAATTTAATTGTCCGATAGTATCATCCTGAATTGTGAATATAATCGCAGATCAGATTTTATAGAAATAATAAAAATATGGTATACGAAGAAGCGTGTAAATAAAGCGGGGTGGGAGCTGATTTCCCGCGTTAAAGGATACATTTTTACACGTGATATTAACTCGTGAAAATAAATGGTAGATTAGATTGGATTTGAATAAAATATAAATGAAAGAAACATGTAAGGGCTGGGGCTTTTATTTTCGTTTTTTTTATACTATTATTTATTTTTATGTTAATAATTCTTGAAACATATAATATTTTATGTTAATATTTCTTTGAAACATATAAATTATTGGAAAGGAATTGCTAGGTTAAATTTAGAAGATTTTTTATTTTTAATCTATTAATGAAATTTTTATAAATTTTTTTCTGATAAAAATTTGTATTTTTTTTTAATAATATGAAGTAAATCGAGTTATAATATCGTAAAATTATTAAAGTAGATAATTAAAGTTCCCCTCCAAGAAAAAAAAATTTTATAATTTCACAATTTCTTATTATATTAGAATTTATTTTAATTAAAATTGTTTTCGTTCCATTATTTTCATTAACTTTTCCTTTTCTACAATTACCTATTTGTTCCCTATCTTTATCACTCTTGTATAATTCACAAAATCATCAAGAAATATTCAAGTTTCCAGAAAATTTAGAATTTTTAGTACATTTAAAAAAAAAATCTTTTTTATTTATTATTACTCAAAAATTCGCTCGTTAACGGATTAATTTTCAATCAAATATCCGCATCGATCACCATTTACACGAGCATCGATACATTTATATTAATAACTCGATCTCCCATAATTTCATTCACACACGTAATACACGCGAAAAAAAAAAAAGAATACAATCACCATACACGCCCAATCAGACAATGATTTTCGTTAAACGTTTTCGGCAATTACCATTTTTACCATTTTTAATTCCCCAGGCGAAACACTCGGGTAATTCGCCTCCTCACGAATCGATCTTTCTCAAATAAATTCAGGCGATAAGTCATGGGGCCGGAGGGATCGATAAATCCTCGGTCGATAATAAAACCGTTTTGCATGGAATCCGGGGTCGGGAATGCGCGTTTCGGTAAGGAAGCCGTTGTAACGAGATGCGGCCAATTATAATTATCGTTCGATAACGTTGCTGCTCGGAGACGATCGTTCATAACAGCTTGTCTTACACGTGTCTGAGGAGATAACGAGGCGGGTAATTGTCCTTTGTCTAATTACCATCCGGGCCGGCTAATTGTTTCATCGGGTGGAAATAATGGGGCGGAGTCACGCTACTTTCCTCGATTCGATCTACGTTTTCGAATCGAAACTTTTCTTCTCTTCGCTGAATTCAAATGTGATTTTTGACGAAAGGAAAGAAACTTATATAAGGATTAATTTTGATAGAAGAAAATTGTAAGGGGTGGCTTCTTTTTCTCTTTTGGAATTTTTTAATCATCATTTGACACGTTGATAAAGTAAATTTAAAAATTTTTTTGGAGGTAATTTTTAAGAAATGATTTCCTCTTTTCTATTATTATTTATTTTCATTCTTCAATTATTTAATGGTATAATAATGATTTATGATATGTATAGAAAATTATCAGAATAATGCAAGTAAAATATAATTTGAAATGAATTTAAAATAATTTTGGAATTTTTATTTTTAGTTTTTAAATCTGTTCACAATAATTGTAAGTAGATTCTTCCAAGAATTGTTGCTCTTTCTCGTTGGATGTTCTGGAAATCGAGAAACAGGAATGATCCATTCTCGCAAAAACAATACATCAAGGAAAAGGAAAAATTAAGAAAAAATAAATAAATAAAGATGGCAGTCTCAGAGTCGAGGTAGTGGACAATTAACAGGGCAAGAAGTCTATCAATCAGAATGACGTCCCCGGGTATCGACGAGAAACTATCGTGCAGCTTATCATTTCCGATCATTTTCCAGTTACTCAACTGTCGTTCTCTCGTCATCGTCGAGTAATTGGCCACGAGTAGTTATTTCATTAGTGGAACCTGATCGAGAAACCGTGGACCAGAGGGACGGAAACGTGACGTAAATTATTGGTCGTAATTGACCAT